ACATCTTATCTACGAGAGGAGTTGTCCATCCCCAGTCTTAAAAGCAGAATTAAGGAACTGAATGCAAAGCTTGCAATTAAGATAGCCAGAGATCCCCCATTACAATGATGGTTATCTTGAGGTTATCTTGATATGATTTCGGGACTTAGCGACCCCGCGGTCCGGTCCTCGACCAGGCCTCCTTTGTTACATATTCCCAGGAAGCAGCCCATAGCAGCTGTCTAACTCCCAGGTACCTATTTACTACTAGGTGAACAGGCGCATCAGGGGTGAAAGAAACTCTGCCCATTTGTTTCCACCTACGTCAAGGATCGATCCCCGTTCCCTACGACTACGAATTCCGAGCGCTGTCCACTCAGCTACCAGACCCCCTGTGTGTGTGTGTGTGTGTACTCACCTAGTAGTGCTTGCGGGGGTTGAGCTTTAGCTCTTTGGTCCCGCCTCTCAACCGTCAATCAACAGGTGTACAGGTTCCTGAGCCTATTGGGCTCTATCATATCTACACTTGAAACTGTGTATGGAGTCAGCCTCCACCACATCACTTCCTACAGTAAGTAAGTGAGTGTGTGTGTGTACTCACCTATATGTACTCACCTATATGTGCTTGCAGGATCGAGCATTGACTCTTGGATCCCGCCTTTCTAGCTATCGGTTGTTTACAGCAATGACTCCTGTCCCATTTCCCTATCATACCTAGTTTTAAAAGTATGAATAGTATTTGCTTCCACAACCTGTTCCCCAAGTGCATTCCATTTTTCTACTACTCTCACGCTAAAAGAAAACTTCCTAACATCTCTGTGACTCATCTGAGTTTCCAGTTTCCACCCATGTCCCCTCGTTCTGTTATTATTACGTGTGAACATTTCATCTATTTCCACTTTGTCAATTCCCCTGAGTATTTTATATGTCCCTATCATATCTCCTCTCTCCCTTCTTTTCTCTAGTGTCGTAAGGTTCAGTTCCTTCAGCCGCTCTTCATATCCCATCCCTCGTAGCTCTGGGACAAGCCTCGTCGCAAACCTCTGAACCTTCTCCAGTTTCTTTATGTGTTTCTTTAGGTGGGGGCTCCATGATGGCGCGGCATACTCTAAGACGGGTCTCACGTAGGCAGTGTAAAGCGCCCTAAAAGCTTCCTCATTTAGGTTTCTGAATGAAGTTCTAATTTTCGCCAGTGTAGAGTACGCTGCTGTCGTTATCCTATTTATATGTGCCTCAGGAGTTAGATTAGGTGTCACATCCACTCCCAGGTCTCTTTCTCGAATCGTTACAGGTAGGCTGTTCCCCTTCATTGTGTACTGTCCCTTTGGTCTCCTGTCACCTGATCCCATTTCCATAACTTTACATTTACTGGTGTTAAACTCCAGTAGCCATTTCTCTGACCATCTCTGCAGCCTGTTTAAGTCCTCTTGGAGGATCCTACAATCCTCGTCTGTCACAACTCTTCTCATTAATTTTGCGTCATCTGCAAACATCGACATGTATGATTCCACTCCTGTAAACATATCATTTACGTAAATTAGAAAGAGGATTGGTCCCAGCACCGATCCTTGAGGTACTCCACTTGTTACTGTTCGCCAGTCCGACTTTTCGCCCCTTACCATTACCCTCTGGCTCCTTCCTGTTAGGTAGTTCTTCACCCATACTAGGGCCTTTCCGCTTACTCCTGCCTGCCTCTCAAGTTTGTATAGCAGTCTCATGTGCGGTACCGTATCAAAGGCCTTTTGGCAGTCAAGAAATATGCAGTCTGCCCAGCCTTCTCTGTCCTGCCTTATCCTTGTTACTTTATCATAGAATTCTAAAAGGTTTGTTAGGCATGATTTCCCTGTCCAGAACCCATGTTGGTGCTTGTTTACAAACCCAATGCTCTCCAGGTGCTCAACAAGTCTTAGCCTAATTATTCTTTCAAGAATTTTGCAGGGGATGCTTGTCAGTGATTGTGTGTGTGTGTGTGTGTGTGTGTGTGTGTGTGTGTGTGTGTGTGTGTGTGTGTGTGTGTGTGTGTGTGTGCGTGCGTGCGTGCGTGCGTGCGTGCGTGGGCGCAGTTAGAGGACGCAATACTGTCTAAATAACTCTCATAGTTTTCCTTATCTGTGATGCTGGCACTGCGGAACTCTGTCTCTCTCGTCCTCTGTCTCTCCCTCTCTTTATCTCCATTACTCTCATTTCCCTCTCTCTTCCCTTCCCATCTCTCTTCCCCTTCCCATCTCTCCCATCCATATACGTCCCTCTCCATAACTTTGTGTGATGGCCAGATAGATGTAAACACACAAGATACAAGACAAATATGATGGAGACGCGGGTTGAGTTGCTACTGCCCAGAGCCGAGTGAGGTCACCTGAGCTCACACATCATGCAGTGAGAGTTTGGTCATAGTGAGAGCTTAACGAGGCCAGAAGGGTGAGTGGTCCCAGAAGGGTGAGTGGTCCTCGAATGGTAGATGGTCCTAGGACCCAGTCTGGTCAAGGGTGGTAGGGCAGAAGAGGCATCTAGGTGGGTAGCTGAATAAAGCCCATGGCGGCAGGGCTAAACCCTGAAGGGTCTGAGTGAGTGAGACCCCCTCCCTGGCTAGACCTATCCACCTGCCATCCTGACCTCAACCATAAAGTCTTTTCATGGTTGTTTTATAGCGTGGTGAAGGCGCGGGCGCTGCTGCCTCTCTCATACCTCATTTGTTGTGTTTCTCGACCCGGATTTATGGATCCTCTCTGTCCTTTCCTCCGCCACCATCCCCCGCACCACCAGTAGCCCCTGCACACCTCCCCCACGCCAGCAACCCCAACACTAGTGGGTCATCTCACTTTACGCCACCATCAGCGTATTCAGCCCCGGGGGACACTAGTTAGCTGCCCGCTCCTCAGGATATATTTACTCAACAATATTATTAAAGTCATCAACTTGGAAGTGTGGGGAGGGTATATGGGCTGCACACATGCACCTCTTTACTACACACGTGTATGTGTGTCTTGTCACCAGGGACACACAGGTAACTTAAGATGACAGACTCGCGGCGATGCGCAAAATCAGCAGGTCTTGCTGGCGGCGCTACATCTGTTCTCCAGTATTAGTAACAATGGTGTAATGGTTAACTCTGAGCCAGTACCACCCCCACATGTACCCACATGACCACCCCACATGTACCCACATGACCACCCCACATGTACCCACATGACCACCCCACATGTACCCACATGACCACCCCACATGTAACCACATGACCACCCCACATGTAGCCACATGACCCCCCCACATGTAACCAAATAACGAGAGCCAACACAGTGAGCGCATCATTAGAGGTGTTGCCAGCGAGACCAACACTGACGGATAATTACAGATGAACCCACGTGTCATCAGCTGCTCTTCATCCGTGACCCCTCAAGGTGGTATTAATGGTTGTAGGTTGTGGTTGAAGCTTTCTTGGTAGCCGGAACCAGTACAAACACCTATGGCCTCTTCTTTTTTAACAAAATATATATATATCTACTGGACCACATACCAGTTATGGTGAGTGTGTGTGTGTGTGTGTGTGTGTGTGTGTGTGTGTGTGTGTGTGTGTGTGTGTGTGTGTGTGTGTGTGTGTGTGTGTGTGTGTGTGTGTGTGTGTGTGTGTGTGTGTGTGTGCGCGCGCGCGCGCGCGCGCAGGACGAAGGCTCACGCTGACCTGGGGCCAGATTCACGAAGCAGTTACGCACGTACTTAGGAACGTTTTTCTACTTAGCATCTTCGTAGCGGCTATGTCGAGATTCAGGTAGGCTGTGAGAATATGGTTTCTCAAGATTCTCCCACAGCTGGAGAATCAGGATCTCTCGCTATCTTAGTTGCAAGCTTAGCATTTAGTTCCTTAATTCTGCTTTTAACACTGGGAAGGGACAACTCCTGTCGTAGATCAGGCGTTTTTTCACTACTTGGGATTCCAAGAATGATTGTCATGACTTAATTTTGTATATTTTCAAACCTTTTCATATCGCTTTGAGAGTAGGTGTATAAAACTGGTGTGCGGCATAGTTTATGACGGAGCGCACATAGGCTGAGTACATCATTTCAAGTACGGCAATAGAGGCTCCATGTTCATTCCAGGTCATAGCTTTCAGTGCCCTGAGTCGACTTTTGTATGTTCCTATGAGTTGGTTGAGCTCCTCTTTCTTACCCTTGTTAGAGCCCTTGGCTCTAACAAGGTCCCGTCTCTCAACTGTCAATCAACTGGTGGACAGATTCCTGAGCCTATTGGGCTCTTATCATATCTACATATGAAACTGTGTATGGAATCAGCCTCCACCACATCACCGCCTAATGCATTCCATCCGTTAACTACTCTGACACTGAAAAAGTTCCTTCTAACGTCCCTATGGTTCATGTGGGTATTCAGTTTCCACCTTTGTCCCCTTGTTCGCGTCCCACCAGTGTTGAATAGTTTATCCTTGTTTACCCGGTTGATTCCCCTGAGGATTTTGTATGTTGTGATCATGTATCCCCTTACTCTTCTGTCTTCCAGTGTCGTAAGGTGCATTTCCCGCAGACTTTCCTCATAACTCGTGCATCTTAGTTCTGGGACTAGTCTTGTGGCATACCTTTGGACTTTTTCCAGCTTCGTCTTGTGCTTGACAAGGTACGGGCTCCATGCTGGGGCTGCAAACTCCAGGATTGGTCTTACATATGTGGTATACAAGGTTCTGAATATTGCACCAGAGCCTCCAGTGGTGCACCAGAGCCTCCAGTGGTGCACCAGAGCCTCCAGTGGTGCACCAGAGCCTCCAGTGGTGCACCAGAACCTCCAGTGTGGCACCAGAGCCTCCAGTGTGGCACCAGAGCCTCCAGTGGTGCACCAGAGCCTCCAGTGGTGCACCAGAGCCTCCAGTGTGGCACCAGAGCCTCCAGTGTGGCACCAGAGCCTCCAGTGGTGCACCAGAGCCTCCAGTGGTGCACCAGAGCCTCCAGTGGTGCACCAGAGCCTCCAGTGGTGCACCAGAGCCTCCAGTGGTGCACCAGAGCCTCCAGTGGTGCACCAGAGCCTCCAGTGGTCCACCAGAGCCTCCAGTGTTGCACCAGAGCCTCCAGTGGTGCACCAGAGCCTCCAGTGGTGCACCAGAGCCTCCAGTGGTGCACCAGAGCCTCCAGTGGTGCACCAGAGCCTCCAGTGGTGCACCAGAGCCTCCAGTGGTGCACCAGAGCCTCCAGTGGTACACCAGAGCCTCCAGTGGTGCACCAGAGCCTCCAGTGGTGCACCAGAGCCTCCAGTGGTGCACCAGAGCCTCCAGTGGTGCACCAGAGCCTCCAGTGGTACACCAGAGCCTCCAGTGGTGCACCAGAGCCTCCAGTGGTCCACCAGAGCCTCCAGTGTTGCACCAGAGCCTCCAGTGGTGCACCAGAGCCTCCAGTGGTGCACCAGAGCCTCCAGTGGTGCACCAGAGCCTCCAGTGGTACACCAGAGCCTCCAGTGGTGCACCAGAGCACCAGAGCCTCCAGTGGTGCACCAGAGCCTCCAGTGGTGCACCAGAGCCTCCAGTGGTCCACCAGAGCCTCCAGTGTTGCACCAGAGCCTCCAGTGGTGCACCAGAGCCTCCAGTGGTGCACCAGAGCCTCCAGTGGTGCACCAGAGCCTCCAGTTGTGCACCAGAGCCTCCAGTGGTGCACCAGAGCCTCCAGTGGTGCACCAGAGCCTCCAGTGGTGCACCAGAGCCTCCAGTGGTACACCAGAGCCTCCAGTGGTGCACCAGAGCCTCCAGTGGTGCACCAGAGCCTCCAGTGTGGCACCAGAGCCTCCAGTGTGGCACCAGAGCCTCCAGTGGTGCACCAGAGCCTCCAGTGGTGCACCAGAGCCTCCAGTGGTGCACCAGAGCCTCCAGTGGTGCACCAGAGCCTCCAGTGGTGCACCAGAGCCTCCAGTGTGGCACCAGAGCCTCCAGTGGTGCACCAGAGCCTCCAGTGGTGCACCAGAGCCTCCAGTGGTGCACCAGAGCCTCCAGTGGTGCACCAGAGCCTCCAGTGGTGCACCAGAGCCTCCAGTGTGGCACCAGAGCCTCCAGTGGTGCACCAGAGCCTCCAGTGGTGCACCAGAGCCTCCAGTGGTGCACCAGAGCCTCCAGTGGTGCACCAGAGCCTCCGTATCATCGCAGGTAATTGAAGTGTGTCGAAGCGCTGGCTTCCAGGCCTCGATGATGGCCTCTAATTCGCAATAGTGAGCATAGATCTCTCTTTGATGCGATCGGCGCCTTGCACGTGGATGCTTCAAGGCCAGAAGCTCTCTCTCGCTCTCTCTCTCTCCCCTCCCTCTCTCTCCCCCTCTCTTTCTCTCTCCCCCCCCCCCCCGGGTAAGGACACAGTGATTGGATGTATCTAGATAACCGCGCCTCTGTCAACTGCTGCTCTAAATACTGGCTTTGTGATTTTTCACGCACAGAGCGCGGCCTAAGGGGTGGGGGAGACGCCTGGCTTCTTGGAGTGGCTCGTCTCGGGAGTCTCAAAATACTGCTACTGCTGCTGCTACTACTACTGGTACTGCTGCTGCTGCTGCTACTACTACTGCTGCTCCTGCTACTACTTCTGCTATTACTACTACTGCTGCTGCTGCTGCTGCTAGTACTACTGCTGCTGCTGCTGCTACTACTACTACTGCTGCTGCTGCTGCTGCTACTACTACTACTGCTGATGCTGTTGCTGATTTACTTGTTCATGTTACAGCTGTTGAGAGAGGTGGGAGACAATTGAAACTTTTGCTATTAAAACCCACACGGAACATTTTCATTGTTACAGCTGACACGAACATGGGTGTCAAGGGGAGACTCCCTCACAGGCAGGAAAGCCAAGGTCTGCTCCAATGGAGCAGTCTCGAGAACTATGAATATGGAACTCGGTACCCCCCCAAGGAGGAGTCTTAAGCCCCACACTATTCAGTGTTATGAACGCCATTGTAAATATTGATTTCCCGGAAGGAACACAACAAGTGGGATATGAAGATGATGTTCTAATACAAGCTCCCACCTTGGGAAAAATTAAATAGTCCATTGAACTCGTTGGAAGGAAATGTTTTGAGCTCGGTTTCACTCTCTCCACAAACAAGACACAAGCATACTCCCATCACAAGCGGGAAGAAAAAGAAGAACTGCAAATTAATGGTGTAACACTTGAATGGGTTGACCACTATCGGTGCCTTGGCGTCATTGTCGGCTCTAACAAGGGAAAAATAGTGTAGCTCAACCAACTCATAGGAACATGCAAAAGTCGACTCAGGGCACTGAAAGCTATGACCTGGAATGGACATGGAGCCTCTATTGCCGTGCTTAAAATGATGTACACAGCCTATGTGCGCTCCGTCATAGACTATGCCACACCAGTTTTGTGCACCTACTCCCGTAGCGATATGAAAAGGCTTGAAAATATACAAAATGAAGTCATGACAATCATTCTTGGAGTTCCATGAACTGCCAAAACGTCTAATCTACGAAAGATGAAGTCCCTCCCCAGTGTTAAAAGCAGAATTAAGGAACTGAATGCTAAGCTAGCAATTATTATAGCCAGAAATCCCCATTACAATGATATTGCCAAGAAAAAACCGAGTTCTGTGTTACTTACAGGAGGAAACAGGAGAAGCAAAAAATGGCATCACAGAGCAGTCTGGTACCTCGAAGAACTTCACCTGCTTGAGCAAGCCCGTGAGCTCCTGCCTGTAGAGAGGTTACCTCCCTGGGAGGATGACTCATGCAGGATTATCATCAATGAAATGGCCACTGAAAAATCCAACACGATAACACAAGAAATGAGGCACAAGTATCTCGAGGAAGGAAATTTATAAAGAAGCCGGAAATGAACTTGATCAAATCTACACTGACGGGTCATCGAATCCTGTCAATGGCAGGGCTGGTGCAGCATACACTGCAATTAAGAATAATGTTTTTCAACGCAGAAATAAAGAAAAGACGCGTATTGAGAACTATGCTTCTTCAACACAAGCAGAGCTAACTGCCATTGTTATGACGTTAAGATTCCTTGAACGAAACAAAAATGGTGCAGTGATCTGCACCGATTCAAAACCAGCACTGCAAAGCCTAAGTAAAAATCGAGCAGAAAATCTTGCGATAGGAGCTTAAATTAAGAGAGCTGTGAGGGTACTAACCAACCAGGGAAGAGTCGTCAAGTTCCTGTGGATCCCCTCCCATGTTGGAATATGTGGGAATGAACGAGCAGATGTGCTGGCTGCTGAAGGCGCTGAAGGAGACCATATTGAATACTTCATACCCAAGAAATCAGAGGTATTGTCAGGCAACATCACCGTGACAAGGTAACTGAGGAAAGGAGGATAGAAGCAGAAACCAGTGAATCTGTACGAAGGTACAACATGGTTGCAGCTGGCAATCCCAATCATTATGGACGAAGAGGAGGAGGACGAGGGAGAGAATCAGTAATAACGAGAATCCGTCTTGGATACAAATATCCATGGAGATACGGAATGGAAACAACAGTTGATCAAGGAAGTTGCAGAATCTGTGGTGAGAGTGACGGACACCGCCTTGACCACTACCTGAGAGAATGTGAACACCTGAGAGACATTAGAAATTGTGTGAGTTAGGAAAACACTATTTGTCAAATATTGATACTGTTCTTAAAAGATTCCCCCATTTTTCACCCGCAAGATAACGTAAGATTTAAAGGGTTGATAAATGTTAATCTTCTTGTTTGAGGAACTGTTCACTTGAGACAGTTAAGCAAGTCCCAGCTGTGTCTGGGTACAAGTGACAGGATGAACAACCCAGCGGGTTTTCTTTTTATTGGGGAGTGTTGTACATGCTGCATTGGCGGTATGTCCACTCTCAAGATGAGTGGCGCTGCCCAATACTGTCACTATGGCGGTGTGTCCACTCACAGGATGAGTGACGCTGTCCAATACTGTCACTATGGCGGTATGTCCACTCACAGGATGAGTGGCGCTGCCCAATACTGTCACTATGGCGGTATGTCCACTCACAAGATGAGTGGCGCTGCCCAATACTGTCACTATGGCGGTATGTCCACTCACAGGATGAGTGGCGCTGCCCAATACTGTCACTATGGCGGTATGTCCACTCACAGGATGAGTGGCGCTGCCCAATACTGTCACTATGGCGGTATGTCCACTCACAGGATGAGTGGCGCTGCCCAATACTGTCACTATGGCGGTATGTCCACTCACAAGATGAGTGGCGCTGCCCAATAAACTCGCCCCTCGGGGCAAAATGTAAAAATTTTAAATTGCCATGGTTATAGCCGCCACGGAACATCGCCAGGGTTAAACAGCCGCCACGGAACATCGCCAGGGTTAAACAGCCGCCACGGAACATCTCTGGCTATTCTAATTGCAAGCTTAGCATTCAGCTTCTGAATTCTGCATTTAACACTGGCGAGGGACAACTTCTCTCGTAGATTAGACGTTTAGGCAGTTCTTGGGACTCCAAGAATGATTGTCATGGCTTCATTTTGAATGCCTTCAAGCCTTTTCATATCGCTTTGGGAGTAGGTGCACAGAACTGGTGTGGCATAGTCTATGACGGAGCGCACATAGGCTGTGTACATCATTTTAAGCCCGGCAATAGAGGCTCCATGTCCATTCCAGGTCATAGCTTTCAGTGCCCTGAGTCGATTTTTGCATGTTCCTATGAGTTGGTTGAGCTCCTCTTTCTTTCCCCTTGTTAGAGCCGACAGTGACGCCAAGGTACCGATAGTGGTCAACCCATTCAAGTGTTACACCATTAATTTGTAGTTCATTTGCTCCCCGCTTGTGATGGGAGTACGCTTGTGTCTTGTTTGTGGAGAGTGAACTACCAAGTCGGTGTTCCACGATTATAACTTTAATTATGTTCAAGATAACCACCGCGAGAACAAACGAACAAACACAATCGCTCTAATCAGTCAATTGCGGGGGGGGGGGGGAGGGATTAAATGTCCTTAAGTAATTACCTATACAAGCAACAATTACAGAACATGGCAGACAAAAATAGCTTCTTTGTCTCCCAATTTACACAAAGCCTTGTTTATCTTGTTTTTTTTTTGTAGTTGTATTATTGTTTTGTTTTGTTTTTTGTGTTGTGTTGGTTGTGGTGTTGAGTGATTAATGGCGAGATAGAGCCTGCGGGGCCAGCATTAGTTCCCGCCA